TTGTATGTCTTATTTAGAATACATCCAGAAAAAAATGCTGAATTGGTTTCAGAATACCTTTAAATTCAAGTCTGCGATCTTAAGTGGACAAGACCTTCCTTTGCTCCAGTTCTTCTGTTATTGAAAAATAAATGATGATGGAATCTGAAAAACACGCCTACACATTTTAGTCAGTGACCTGGTAAATCTCAGGGGGGAAAGACCTAAATTACAAATGAAAATGGCCTATCGTTTTTATCTAAACCTTCAAAAGAAAATAAGCAAGTGTTCAGCATAGCTGTAGTTCATCTGAAGAACCGATCTGTAACTCTACATGTCCCTAGATGGATGTTTGAATTTATATTCAGAATATTTTAAAAATTTCAACTGTCTCCTTATGTTTTTCTATCATGATTAACTGTGCAGCTGTAAATCTTGCTTAAATGTGTAGTTTGACAATTCCTAATGGCAGAACTAAAAGCTCTTAGGTTTGCACAGCTATGCACAATTGAGGCCACAGAGGCCTAAGAACAGCAAAATATATCTCATCTCCTTTTCTTCTAATTCTCCAGGTACACTAGAGACTAGGGAAGCTGAGCGGGGTCTGGCCTTTAGCAGCAGGAGCTGGAACATGAAGAAGTACCGCTTAAATTAGAACATTTTATAATACTGGCAAGTGTCCTGAGTGCATGAAAAAGTGATAGCTTTGCTTTTTTTTTTTTTTTTTTAAATACACCTACCTCTTTTCATCTTTCCAGTTCTTTAGTAATGGACTTTGCTTAATCTTTTCTATATGGACAAATGTACAAAAGCTTTTGCAGTAATGACTGATGGACAGGATGCATCCTCCAATTAAACATTATCTCTGTAGCCTTTTCCAGAGTATATCTTCAGTGGCTGTGAAAATGTACCTTTTTACACCTTTTTTGTTTGTCTCATCCTTGCTTGGAAAACTTTTATGATGTTTTTATTACCTTAATTTTCCAGACTAAATAAAGGACTGCAAGATAAACCATTAGGCTGTTGAAGAAGTAGAATGTCTTGGTTTTATGTCTTTTACAAAGAAGCAGCTTCTTCAGTGCTGCCAATCTATATGGGATATATTTATTTTAGATTTTTATTTGGCTATCACTGTTAATGTTGTTCTTTCCACTGTCACATTCAATCTGCATGACATCAGCATGTCACCAACAGAACAGATGTCACTTTATTATGGTCTCTTTTTTTTTTCATTGTAATTAGTGATCTGGTCTTTCTTGACGTGCTACAATTTACTCGGAGCAATACAGGCACTCTGATGGGGACAGGGTGATATAACCTAGAGTGACAGCTAACAGAGTGGCAATAATCTACTAAAATATTTGAAACTGAAAAGAAAAATCTATCTTGTTCAGCTAAGCAGGCTGAAGGATCAAAAGATGCCAAACAGTTTTCTGTCTGAAAACCACAAGTTGCTGTACAGCAAAATGGTACTTGGACTTGTTAATGGCTACTTGGATCACTAGCAGTAATCATGCTGTAAAAAGATTTAGGAGGTCAGTGTAATAATGCTCTCATTTGCTCTAACATCATTTCAAGAATCTGTTTAAAACAGCTTAAAAAAATATTTTTTTTTTTTTTTTTTAAAACGCTGGACCCAGGTCTTACAATTTTACTTCGATTTGGGCGTGGGATGGATTTTCTTTTATAGTGCCTGACATTGTGTCACTTTCTAATAAGATGGCTGCTGGTAGTGAGAGGCTCAAAATGCCATTTGTAGTTAAAATCTCTATTTTCAGATACATTGTCTGGTTTATTCATGCAGAGAAGTCATTTTACCTTTTGACCTTTCTGCTGGACTGAACACAATGAGTGAAGACATATTTTAAGAGTCCTTACATGTGAGTGAATTGTGACTGCAGCTGAAATTGCCACAGTCTCCTGTATTATTCACATTAATTTATTTGTAATACACTTGGCCAAACCATCCCATTTTAGATATTTACTTCTTTTTGTTTAGATTTATAGTGAAGCTAAAAAATTAATGAGGTAGAAAATCAAAGCGTTCTAGAGCATTTTAATCAGATAGAAAGAACCACAACTGCAATGCCTCATGCAGGCCCATGTTTTAAACTAATAACATTTTTCACTTAACAAACTACTTCTGTTCATCTGCTTAATTACTTTTTACGGCAAAGAATAACTTAACTGAAAGCTTAAGTATAAGCCCATGCTGAAACGCATTGCTGAAGTAGGGCACAATTCCCAGCATTTTCTCCTTGGGATAACAAGAAATCTTATGGAAGTTTGATGACCTAATAATGAAAAGAGCTTAGGGCCCTTTCAGAGATGGCACATGTCTTCACGTCTCCTTGATCTTGTTGGGAGATGAAAGTACCTATAAGCCCACTGGACTGAGTCCTACCTGCATAAGCCTGACTTCATCCAAAAGGGATTTGTTTTCACTGGTACTTTGAAAGCCTGGAGAATCTGTCAGAGCACTTGCTGGAAGCTGGCATGCATTAGTAAAAACAGTATCTCTGGGGGCTGGAACAACTGAGTAGGTTATAAGGAGTTGCAATTAAGTTGAGCATGACAGATAGACACAAGAAGAGCAGCCCCTCACTCAGAAATTACTGAAAAGTCAGGTAAATGAGCAACGATCTGAAAAAGCTTAAAAGGCTAGTCATAAATATAGCTAGCCAAAGTGGATACCAAAGTAATTAATGATCAAGTTCAGAGATCACTCCCAGAAACAGCAGGTGTTAAGCAGAGAGAACAGTCACTCATTAGAAACGCTGTACACCCACAAAATCTATGTGTTGAAAACGACAGAGGAACAGGTCACTCTGCGATGCTGAGCATAACAAAGGACTCAAAGATAAGGACCAGGCAGGATATTGCTGCTGCTGCAGCTTTCCCAGCCTCAGTCATGTACAAGGGTAGTGCTGGCAAAGCAGAACAAGGTGAATTTGCTAATTCATGGCAATCTGCAAATAAACTGTCTATGAGAGTAAGTAATATAACTATTTCAGATAAACAGGTAACAGAATCACAGAATGGTTAGAGTTGGAAGGGACCTTAAAGATCACTGAGTTCCAACCCCCCTGCCATGGGCAGGGACACCTCCCACTAGAGCAGGTTGCTCAAAGCCCCATCCAGCCTGGCCTTGACCACTTCCAGGGATGGGGCATCCACAACTTCTCTGGGCAGCCTGTTCCAGTGTCTCACCACCCTCACAGTAAAGAATGTTTTTCTAGTATCTAATCTAAATCTCCCCTCTTTCAATTTAAACCCATTACCCCTTGTCCTGTCGCTACACTCTCTGATAGAGGGTCTCTCCCCATCTTCTCCTGTGGGCACCCTTCATGTTCTGGAAGGCTGCTACAAGGTCTCCCCAGAGCCTTCTCTTCTCCAGGCTGAACAACCCCAGCTCTCTCAGCCTGTCCTCATAGGAGAGGTGCTCCAGCCCTCTGATCATTGTCGTGGCCCTCTGTTGGGCCCGTTCCAACAGGTCCATGTCCCTTGGATGTTGAGGACTCCAGAGCTGGACACAGCACTCCAGGTGGGGTCTCAAGAGCACAGAGTAGAGGGGTAGAATCACCTCCCTTGACCTGTTGGCCACACTTCTTTTGATGCAGCCCAGGATGCAGTTGGCTTTCTGGACTGCCAGTGCACATTGCTGGCTCATGTCGACCTTCTCATCCACCAACATGCCCAAGTCCTTCTCCTCAGGGCTGCTCTCCAGCCATTCTCCACCCAAACCTGTGTTTGTGCCTGGGATTGCCATGTCCCAGGTGTAGGACCTTGCAGGGTACTAAGTAAGGTGCTCTGTCTTTGCACCCACTAGGTTTATGTGATCTTTATAAGTAACTCGAATGTCTAGGTTAATGAAGTTATTACCTTCATTACGGCTTTTTGACTGTGTGAACACAAAGCTGATAAAATATGAGCAGTCACATGAACTTTTCACCTAATTGTATTTTTTTCACAGAAGTCATGTAAGTAAAAAAATTACACTGACACATTTCAGCCTATTCATGTGCACACTGGCATTTTATTAAAGAATTATGCTTTAAGTAATATCATTTGTGCATGATGCTTCATTTATTAAGGCTAATACACAAAGAAACAAGATGAGAGTTTCTCTTAGATAAATATTCTGTAATTCTGTACATACATACTCCGTATACACATAAAACCACACACATAGATGGAGCCTGCAAACCCACCCTGCGATACACTGATTACGGGCAACCCATTGGTGTGTAATGAGGCTGTGAGCCCTGGGTGACACCGAGACAAAGAACCAAAGGACCGTATGTTCCCCTGACACAGAAAACCAGCCGCTTTGTGTTGTCTGTCCGTAGAGGCCGAACGTCAGCTGCGGAGGCTGATGGCAGGCGGGGGCAGGCCATGGCTGCCTGAGGGGCTCTTTCCCGTCAGCCCCTCACCACCTCCTTCCCCCTTGGGCCTTCCCTACGGGACCTCACCTCAGATCCCCCCTCTCCCGCCCTTCTGCCGGCCTGCCCTGGCTGCTCAGCCTACGCCGCCCGTGTGCCATTGCCAGCCTGCCCCTGCTGCCATCACCACTGGCGTGAAGCATGGGCGTACAATTTGTGGAAAAAAGTATTAAAAAAATGAGTTAAGATCAATAAAAATAATGAGTTTGCTACAGACAGCGAGAGACCCCAGCGCTGGCGCCAGCACTGCCAGGCCGGGTGCGGCCCCAGCGCCATGACAGGGTTTCCCCGGCGGCCCCCCCGCCCCATGTAAGGAGGCAGGACCCCGCCAAGGCCAGAACGCGGCCGCTGCCCCGGGAGCACGGGCGTTGCCGCTTCACACACAAATCCTGTGGGGGAACCGTGGGCAGAGCTGGAATTTGCCGGGGGGGGGAGGAAACACCCTCAAAGCCAGCGGGGACGGAGGGGGAGCTGTCTCGCCCCACAGCGGGTTGGGCCTGGAAGGGCGCCCCGGGGGCGGGGCAGGAGGGCGCCTCTACCCCCCCCCCTCCGCGGCTGCCGCTGCTTGTCCCTCGGCGGCCGCCGTAGCCGACCCCTCCTCCTGCCGCCGCTGCGCGCCCGGCGACGCGCGCTTTTGAACCGCCATGAGCCTGTGGGTGGACAAGTACCGGCCCGGGTCCCTCGGCAAGCTCGACTTCCACCGCGAGCAGGCGGCGCAGCTCCGCAACCTGGTGAGGGGGCACTCGGGCCCGCCGGGGCGGCGCTCCGCGGCCTTGAAGCGTGGCGGCCGCCTGAGGCCAGCTGGCCGCTGGGCCTCTCTCTCCCCCGGAGCCGGGGTTCCGCGGCCCGTAAGCCGCCTCTGCGGGTCCGCAGGGCGGGGGTTGGAAGCTTCCCCTTGGTGCAGGCCCCGTCCTTCGGGGCAGCGTCCCCGCCGGTGGGAAGGGAGTCCGCTGGCATCGTGGGCCCGCTTGGGAGGGCGGCCTGTGAGCTACGGAAAAGGCTGCCAGAGTGTTGGTGGCTTGGCTTTTTCAGCAGTGATGTGCCTCTGTGCTTCCTGCTGGCTTTTGCCCAGAGTGATCAGTACCGATAAAAATAACGCATACGATATCACAGAATGGTTTAGGTTGGAAGAGACCTTAAAGACCACTGAGTTCCAACCCCCCTGCCACGGGCAGGGACACCTCCCACTGGACGAGGTTGCTCAAAGGCCCATCCAGCCTGGCCTTGATCGCTTCCAGGGGCATCCACAGCTTCTCTGAGAAATCTTTTCAAATGCCTCACCGCCCTTATAATGAAAAATTTCTTCCTTGTTTCCTTAAAGTTAGGTGATGTCTTAAGGTGAGCAACTGGGAATAAAACTCAGGACTATGTAATTGCTTGGATGTTAAACAACTTCCTCCCACCCTCTGCCCCGTGATGTGCTGACTTTTCTTCACTAGACCGATTTGTTCTCTGTGTTCCTGTATGACTTGTGTCTAGCTGGAGAAGGGAAGGCTCCAGGGAGACCTTACTCAGGCCTTCAAGTACCTGACGGGTGCCTGCAAAAAAGCTGGAGAGGGCCTTTTTACAAGGGCATGTAGTGATAGGATGAGGGGTTTGGCTTCAAGCTGGAAGAGGGTAGATTTACATTAGATATTGGGAAGAAATTCTTTACTGTGAGGGTGGTGAGGCACTGGAACAGGTTGCCCAGAGAAGTTGTGGATGCCCCATCCCTGGAAATGTTCAAGGCCAGGCTGGATGGGGCTTTGAGCAGCCTGGTCCAGTGGGAGGTTGGAACTCAGTGGTCTTTAAGGTCTCTTCCAACCTAAACTATTCCATGATTGTAAATTCTGACTATGGTATTTGGCCAGATGTTCTCCAAGTTATGCTTTTTAGCTTTTCAAGAAACAAACCCCTAACTTCATTTAAGTACAGGCTATCTATTACTTGTTTGTCTAGATTCAAGGCTTGCAAATGAAACAACAAAGTAATTATATATATGCACATATATACATAATTCAGTTTGTGTATATCTGCTTTAAACTTTGTTTTAATCCCTTTATACTGTGTGTTTATTGCATCTGTCACTCTAGAAACCTTGGAATGCATATAAATACTGAGGTGGTTTTTGTTGGGTTTTGCAGTTGTTTTCTTGGTTTTTTTTTGAGGGGTGAGGTGTTTGGAGTTAAATGAGTTACATATGGTCTTCAGAAAAAGATTATAGGAAATGCTGCTGCAGGAAAGAAATTCAGCAGTTCTAATTCTAGGTATGATGTTGTGACTGAGCTGCATGTGGAAAAGTAATTTCATGTAAACTTGGGTGAGAGTGGAAGGATGAACACTCTTATAAGGAAAATACTGTTGTAGCTAACTAATCTCTTTGCTTTGTGTTAGGTTCAATGTGGTGACTTCCCTCACCTGTTGGTGTATGGACCTTCAGGAGCTGGAAAAAAGACAAGAATAATGTGTTTGTTAAGGGAATTATATGGTGCAGGAGTGGAAAAACTGAGAATTGAGCATCAGAGTATAACGGTAAAAAAAATAAGTCTCCCATCTGCTGCAAAATAATGTGGATATTTATATACTGATATATTCCTGTTGTGAGACCTTTATATCTATTTGAGTTTTAAATTTATTTTTTTTTCACTTAGTATCTTTACGCTCTTTTATCTAATTAAGCAGACTAGTTTGTTTACTTGAACAAATGTTTTTGCCAGGTAATCCTGTTCCTTAAGTCTTATTGGGTGGGAGGGTGTGGGGCTTCTTTGTTGTTTTCTGTGATTGTTGTGGGTTTTTTCCTCACAAATCTGGTTGGACAATAGGGTGTGTTGTAGTAGACTAGCTCTCAATTAGATGTATAGAATTTCGTTTGTCTGAAAAATGTTTTTTTTAAATGATTAGCACTGCTTTTCTCATAGATGCAAGTTCTAATTTGTTTTCTTATTCCCATAGTTACAATTTCAGCATTAGAAAAAAAAAAATGTATCTGCCTTGGTCTTAGGCATTTAATTGATCATTATTAAAAGGTTACACTATCCATTCAAAGTCCTTGTTATGGATATAATATGTAGGGTTGGGGGCAGGCGATGCTAATGTTTAGTGTCTCAGCAGTTCTTTGATCTCTGAGTCTTTAGGTGATCCAGCCAATTGTAATCTACAAGATAAATTTGTGCATCAGATTTTTACAAGACTCTTTCTGAAATTTGATATGCTTACTTTCCACATAGGCACCTTCTAAAAAGAAAATTGAAATTAGCACCATTGCAAGTAATTATCACCTCGAAGTTAACCCAAGGTAAGCGTATGGTGAAAATGTCACACTTCAAATTTAAGCTGCTGGTCATGTTGCGAGTGGTTTCAACCTGGGTATATAAGAACCTGATTTACTGGGAAAATTAGATAATGGCTTATGGGTTTGGACTGCAAATGGGAGCAGGGAGAGGACTTTTAATTGAACAGCTTAAATGAACAAAAATTTGCATTACTGTATACTAAAGACAGTAATGTTCTGCTTAACTAGCCAGATAAGCATGCTGATGTTGAGGACTGAGTAACAAGCAATTCTGGATTCATAGATTTAACCATTTAGGTTGAAATGTAAAGCTTCTATTGGAACCAACACCCCCATATTGTTAGTTCTCTCACAAATACAAAAATAAAGTGATTTGAAAATAAGGAAGGCTTACCTGGTAACTCGTAAAATAAAGAGTTTAGAGCACGGGGTGAAAACAGCACCACAAAATACTGGGAATCCTGTCATGAGTGAGGTCAGATGTTGATTTAAATGACAGAAGCAAAATGGTGTACTCTGTGTCAACTTTGACATTTGTGAAATTGCTGGTGATAGTTCACTGACCCAGAGTAAATACTTGTGTTTACCTGAAACCCCTTAGTGTTGCCTTAAGTCACATGACAGTAAATGTCACTGTCCACTGGGAGCCTTGGGTTATGTTGGCTTTGTTGTCTGGGTTGCAGTTGTAAGAAAATATGTGTCCTGGAGTAACTTTCATCTTTGTGTTTATTGCTAAGTCTTTTCTCACGTTGCTCTGCATTTTAGATGCTGTTCTCATGTATTCTCATGTCTCCTTTAAAAGCTTGTTCTGCAGTTAATCTCTGTGTATTGCTGGTTATTCTAATACAGCCCTGCTGACCAGACAGTGAATCTGTGTGTGCAGTGCTGTAGTCTGCGAAGTTGGATTGAATTATAATACTGTGAAATCATGTTGTGCATCTTCAGTAACATGGAACATGATAAATGGCTCACAGGGAAAGGAAATTAACTTCTGGGAAGGACGATGCAGACATTAAATTTATTATGGAACTATATTAGATAGACCTGTTTGTTTTTCCTCCCCTACTGTAATCACAGGTCCACTCCCTCGTGTAAGGACAGATCTCCGCAGTCAAAGTCAGTGTAGCCTATTCAGCAGGTTGTGAATGGTTGAGCTAATGGGCTTCTGTACATTCTGATGCCTTCTCCTTGGCAAGAATGGGGAACCTCTTGTTGAGTGGTCACTAGAACAGGACAGAAAAATGCCTCTTTCATTTGCTTGCCAGTGAAATATTGCAGAGCTACTGCTGCCTCTGTGAAGGCAATATTCTGGGGATGCTAAAGAGTGTGGGGTTTTTTCCCCCTCTTTTTCTTTGCTTTTTCAGTAATTTAGTCTGCAAGTCAGTCCCCAGTGGCTGTCAAATCTGAGTCAAGCCAGCTGTGCTACTAACCTGGGGGCTGAGAAAGTTGTGCAGTGCTTTTCTAGGGGGGAGTAAGGGGAAGAGGCAGGAAGGTAACCTGGTATTTCCCTGTGTTTACCTGCCTTCTAAGAGGAAAAAAGTTGACCATCTGTGCTGTAGTAATATCTGAGTATCAGTCTTTTATTACCAACTCTTTAACTTGGCTGTGTCTGCCATTCAAGTTTACATTGACCTTCTAAGTTGTTTATAGCATGACATCTGATTTTCAGGGGAAAAAACCCTATGCATTTATACCAGTTCCTTGGAGTCAGGTATCAGATTGTGTGGTTAAACTTAAATTTTCTTCCCATAGTGAGTAAAAATGTTCACTTTACATGTCTTTGGCCAGATTACAAGTCACAAATGTTTAGATTGCTCATACCAAAAAATAAGTTCTCTTTTAAAGAGGTAATAAAACATTTGGCAACAGTTTCACTACTTCCCAGTACAATGCTACTATTCCAGCTGTGCCTGCATAATCCTTGGGTCATTTTTATTATTGGGAAGGTGACTTTGTCATCAAAGTATGTGTGTTGAGCTTAAGTCTAACCTCTTCTGAATTCTTTTGGCATTCTTGTTTGGGGCTGCTTAGGATGATGTATTTTATATGCAGTATAAAGGTGTTTTAAAAAAAGTTTTATTCAAACTCCTGGTACAGTGATGCAGGAAACAATGACCGTGTAGTAATTCAGGAACTCTTGAAGACAGTAGCACAATCCCAACAGCTTGAGACAAGTACTCAACGAGATTTTAAAGGTGAGTAAAAACAGTTAAAACCAGTGAAAGTACTTTTTAAACTTGTTTTTCAGAGATTTCAGTTGACTGTTATATTTGTACCTATATATCGTGTGAGGGCACACGTGAACCTTTCCCAAATCAATCAACCTCTCATTTTTCACTGTGGAAATATCTTGAGTGGTTAAACACTTAGTATGAGGTTGTCTGTTGTGTTGGTTTCTTAGGAGGACAGAGTGTGGTTGAATGACTGTGGCTGGGCAGAGAGAGCTGGGATTCCTGCTGTCTTTTTCCCAAGTCTACCACTGAAATGCACTGTAACTTCGTTTAATGATCTATAGTAGAAGTTGCATTATGAGCTGCTGTGGTTTAATATTGCCTTGAGGGGCAGGATAACTGTATGGTAAATGGTGCTGTGTAACTGAGGTGTTAGCTGCTTATTTGTAGTGTTTTGGGGGATAAGCTAGAAAGTTTAGAGGCATTTTATCTATAATGTACAAAAGGACACTGGGTAGGAAAATGAAGGCTGAGTTTTCACTGAGTTTTCCAGGATGCATGTTGCCACAACAGGTTTATTTTTCCTCCCCATAACTAAATTGAAAGCAAAATTAGAACTATATACCGAGATTGAAGGACAGAGGAAATATTGACAGATAAAATAGAGCAGAAATTAGTTGAAAATGGTCATGGATTTAGTATTTTGTCTTGTTTTCCTCACTGTTCTCAGGAAATACTGTATTTCACCTTAGCTGTTAGACACTGACTGGCTCTATCAGTTATTGCTGTACATATCCTTACAGCGGCAGTCATACCATGCACCTCAGAGTGTCTGGTGACGTGGCTGCTCTCCTGAGGCTGCACATAGAACCAGGACAGAAATGGGAGAAGAGCAGGGGCCTGACTTGTTCCACCAGGCTGTTCTCACTGGACCATTCATGGTACTGAAAGGAACCATCTCTGAGTTGCCTTTGGAGGAACCTGCAGAAGGCAGTGGTTAGATTAGCTGCCTCATATTAGGTGTCTCCTGATTGTTCTGAAGCATTTTTGAAATATGCTTTTGTCTTTTTTTTTTTCTTTAAAAAACAGTGGAAAGGTGCTGCTACAATAACAAGGCAGCTTTCTACTATTCCTTTGTAAAGCTAGGACATTGGCTTTTAAATATAAAATTTATTGACGGAGTCTTCAAGAATTTTATGCTTTTTGATATGTCCTTTTGCCACAAACGCTTTTGTGTTTCTTACTTAAAAATTCATTTAAAAAGTGACTGTACTAATTATCAAAGTGAAAGCTTCTATACCTGTCTGGATTATTTCTTGGCACTGAAGTGTTGCAGGCCCTGCTCTGAAGAAATTGACATTCCAGGACATGAATATAGGGTGTGAAAGAGCAGAAGATTATACAGTCAAAAAAGCACGCGGGTTGTCTTAATCTTTATTTTCCTGCCTGTGGAACCATGCTGCATTCTTCTGCTCATATCATTTATTTTGGTATTATCGCTTATATGTCAAAGTATGTGTTTTCTTAGAGAGATTTGATATTAATAAAAAACCCTACCATTTTAAATCCTTTTTCAGTGGTGCTGTTAACGGAAGTCGACAAACTCACTAAAGACGCTCAGCATGCTTTGCGAAGAACAATGGAGAAGTACATGGCCACCTGCAGGTTGATCCTGTGCTGCAACTCCATGTCAAAAATTATAGGACCTATTCAAAGCAGATGCCTGGCTGTACGAGTGCCTGCTCCCAGCATTGAAGATGTATGTTGAAATAGAAACGAAAATAAGTTATTTAAAACGTCTTACTGGATAAATAAGATTTCGTAAGTCCACAGCAAGAACTTTACTTCCACAAAGTGACCTAGTTTTTCTTTGTGGTGGGTGACTTGTCAAGCATGTCTTAGAAAAGACTGGTCTATCTCTGGTCCAGAAATACGTCAGACAGGAGAATCTGTAGGTGCTAAACCATTTGCCAAATGTTGCACTCCCTGCTATCTGTTTCCCGTCTAGATCTGCCATGTCTTGTCCAGCGTGTGTAAGAAGGAAGGCCTGACTCTTCCACAGGAACTGGCTCGGAGGCTTGCAGAGAAATCTGGCAGGAATCTTCGGAAAGCACTACTGATGTGTGAATCCTGCAGAGTACAGCAGTAAGTCACTGCTGAAAATTAATGTAAATTATACCCGCGGAGACATACATGAACTTACTTCTGAGGCCTTGTTAGAATAGGTGACAGTTTGCTTTGATTTTAAGTTTTTAATAATATTATTATTATGTAGGTATCCTTTTACTGCTGATCAAGACATTCCTGAGATGGACTGGGAAGTTTATTTGAGAGAAACTGCAAATGCTATTGTTGGTCAACAGTCACCACAAAGGTAGGTGAATACGCTTGCTGGCAGCAGCTTTAAATTATGCTTTTGGTGTACTCTTGAACCTAAAAAAAAAGTTATATTTTAAAATGTGGCATCTTTACTTTTAGTTACACGTAATTTTCTGGTACTTCTACTGAAGCTGGAACTTTGCAGGCAGAGGAAGTGAGCTTTAAAATTAGCGGAGGCGGCTGAATGAGCTTCAGAACTGAAGCAATTGTTGGTTTTCTCTGTTGAAGCTTTGTAATCAAAAGTGAGCATAAGCTTAGTTGCATGTTGTGCTCTCTCTTTATGTGTGTGAGGGGGTGTTGTGTTTGTTATATTTAAAGCTTCTGTTTTAGCATAATGCATCTTTGTGAAAGAACTGGAAATGAGAAATCATCGTGTTTAAGAACATTGGGAGTTGCCCCCTTTATCCATCTTGGTGTTATATGCACAGCCTGGTCCTTTTAGTCTGTTCCATATAGTACATGAGATGTCACCTAAATTCTTGTATTTAATTTAAATGCCTCTCACCTCCTGATATCAAAAATTGAGAATTGGTAACTGTCACTTTCTGCCAGCTAATCACCTTACCCCCTCTTGTAAACAGACAGAAAAACAGTGTAAATGAATCCTGTGGCTCTAAGCAATTTTGTGGTGTCTTCTCACTAATCTTAAGCATGAATAATAATTTAGGTATGAAGAGGAATTGGAGACAAGCTTGAGACAAATTCCAATAGCTGCCTAACTTGTAGATTAACTGAGACCACTGTAACTGGAGTATATGTAACATACATTACTGTTTGAATAAAAAGTGGTGTGTAGCATATGAATTAAAACTGATTTGTGCAATGCTTTTGGGCTTAAAATACCAAAACCAGAAAAAAACTTTGCTTGGGTTGACTCTTTTTTTTTTGGTTTGTTTTTTTTTTTTTTTTCCCTGCAGCATATTTGACAAATAGTAAAAACACCTTACTATGCTTTGGGGACGTATTTCTGATATTTTGTGGTGTCTTTCCAACAGGCTTTTAGAAGTCCGTGGACGGCTTTATGAACTCCTGACACACTGCATTCCTCCTGAGATTATAATGAAGGTAATTCAGCTGTGTAGCTCTTCAGGTGTTATAAATATTAACACTATGACAGTCTCAATTTGAGTTTAAAAAAAAACCCACACCAAAACATAGCAAATTATCCAAATATTGATGAAGAGCTTTGTCCTTTCCAAATAGATGTGAGTGACCAAAAGATACTTTTCTCTTGTGTTTCTTTCCACTACAGTAACTAGAATAGGCCAGGGTATTGCTCTGAGGCAGTAATTACAGACCTTGTTCCTGCAAACACTGATACAGAGCATTCACCTCTCTTGATCCTCAATCAATACACTAGACTGTTTAGTTAGAGTCGTGACTAAATACATTTAGACATGATAGTTTTGTGTTGTGTTGATTTTGGGGACAGGAAGCTTCTGTTCTCCAATTTGGAAAATGTAAATATGTAGTTTATTTTTGTTGCAGGCTTCCTTGTTCACACCTCTGTTGAATGGTTTACTAAAACTTGTTCTGTGATCATAGAACAGCAGCATCGTAGCTGAGTGAAAACAAAGGGGAAATGCTTTGTCCCCCTGAAGACTCCTCAGGCCACTTTCTGTATTGAGGCACAGATATATTTTATGGGGTAATTTTGATTATGGTTTGTTTTCTTATGTAACAGCTTTGTTGTTATAAGTTCAGTATTTGCTATGTTTGAGAGAGGTTTGCTGAAGGATGCAGCAGATCTCTCCAAAGACAGAAGTCATCTTGGGAGAAAAAAGGCGAATGGGACACGCGTGTTTTTATTTTAGGCAGGATGAAAGGATGCTGAAGAAAACCAATACAGGTTAGGGGTGGACTTGCTGGAGACAACTTCTGAAGAGAAAGATCTAGGGGTCCTGGTGGACAGCAAAATGACAATGAGCAAACAGTGTGCTCTTGTGGCCAGGAAAGCCAACGGAATCCTGGGCTGCATAGGGAAGAGTGTGGCCAGCAGGTCAAGGGAAGTCATTCTCCCCCTCTACTCTGCACTGGTGAGGCCACAACTGGAATACTGCGTCCAGTTCTGGGCTCCCCAGTTCAAGAGGGACAGGGAACTACTGGAAGGAGTCCAGCGAAGGGCAACAAAGATGATTCAAGCACTGAGGCATCTCCCTTATGAAGAAAGACTGAGAGAGCTGGGACTCTTTAGCCTGTAGAAGAGAAGGCTGAGGGGCGACCTTGTTAATGCTTACAAGTATCTCAAGGGTGGGTTGATGGAGGAGGGAGTCGGAGTCTTTTCAGTGGTTGCCAGTGAGAGGACGAGGGGCAATGGGCACAAGTTGGAACATAAGAGGTTCCACTCAAATATGAGAAAAAACTTCTTCACGGTGAGGGTGACGGAGCCCTGGAACAGGCTGCCCAGGGAGGTTGTGGAGTCCCCTTCTCTGGAGATTTTCAAGACCTGCCTGGATGCAGTCCTGAGTAACATGCTCTAGCTCTAGGCAATCCTGCTTCAGCAGGGGAGTTGGACTAGATGATCTCTATGGTCTCTTCCAACTCTAAAAATTCAGTGAAATTCAGTGAAAACAAGAGCAGAGCAAAGATTAATGCCAATGTTTGCAACTCACCATAGGTGGACTTTGCCATCAGACATAATTACAAGATAATAAATTTCTTTTGTCATTAAATGATTTCTGCTTTCTGTCAGTTTTGGTAGTTAGATGTTTCTTTAACCTTCCTTTCTTATGGTAGGTAAGCGGATCTTGCATCACCCTGTTTGAGGACTGTTGTTGTCAGGCCAAAGGTGGACTTCTCTGCCCACTCCCTCTCCATGAACTTGAAATGGTCTAGAGATAACTTCTCTATTAATCCTGGCCATTTTAATAGAGATGGATTTGCAATTATTTTATTGGTGTCTTGGATGCAAAATACTGCATTTCTGGTTTTTGTAATGACTAAAGTATTCTTGTACAGTATCTTGGGTGTGTCTACACATACATATGTATATAGATATAAAGAGATATACTTTAAATAAGCCCTTTCCTTGTTATTTATTCATGGTGTTTCTCTTTGTACCTAATGCTGTCAAGGTAGGAAGGAAGTGATTTTAATACACTTGCTATCTTGGTAAAAGCTCTCCCCAGAGCCATGTGCCTGCATGCAGTAGAGACTACAGTATTTGTAGATGAGGTTAATTTATTTTCTTAAGGCATAAGTAGTTCCAGTATATGAATATTTTTTTTTCTCCATCTAAGAACACAATAGGTAATACTTATTCAGACATGAAGAATTTATGTTGAAAGAAGGTTCTGAAGACACATAGTCTATAAGTCTAGTTTGGTCAAATAGATGATTCTTGAATATCTTTCCTGTTGGATTCATGAGTGAACTACTGGTCATAACTTGGCTATTTTCAAAGAAATTAGGTTATCATCTTAACAAAAAAAGATACAATTTTTCAAATACTGTCCTCATTTTTCCCCTTCTAGGGCCTCCTAACAGAACTTCTAAATAACTGTGATGGACAACTGAAAGGAGAAGTTGCACAGATGGCGGCCTTCTATGAACACCGCCTGCAACTGGGCAGCAAAGCCATTTATCATCTGGAAGCATTTGTAGCAAAGTTTATGGCAATTTACAAGAAGTTTATGGAGGATGGACTAGATGACATGATGTTCTAACGCCCAAAGTTGTACGCAGAATGTTGTGTCATGATGCCAAGAATGTTGCAAATGTCTGCTTGTCCATGCTTGATTGCATGTGGGTGTAGTTCAAAAGCAAACATTTTATTTTGCTATTAATACAAAACACAGTGAACTAAAGAACAACATTTGTTCAGGTTTAGAAACCAGATGGATTGTTTGACAGCCACAAATCCATCTTTAGATCTATACAAAATACATTACCCTTTCAGAAAGATAACAAGTTGCCTTGGAAGATGTGTAAGATGGTAGTTCTTTGCAGTCTTTGTAAGCTGACATTGCCAAGAGAGAACATGGGTGCTGTGTGCTTGCTTTTTGATTGCTGGTGGGCAAGGCCGTAAGGAAAAGATGTTTTTTCCACGTTATGGTAAGTTCTAGATTGAGTATGTACATTCTGCCTCCTGATTTATGTATTTTGCTGTTTGTCTGGCTTCTTTTATTTTAGCCATACTGTTTTCTATGGTGTGATGACACAGAACGTTTTCTGACTCTTCTTTGAAATGGTGGATGAGCAATGCTTCTGTGTTGCTTCTAAATCAGCTTGACAACACTTGTCTACAGACATAAAATGCTGTTCAGGTAAAGATTATTCCTTTGACTGTGGTTTAACCTAGGGAAAGTTTTCAACTTTTAACAGATATTCTTTCATCTCTTAAACTGGTATTTTTTTAAGCGGCGAAATAAATTGTAAAAATACGAACACCAAATGAAGTGCTGAATTAGTATTTTAACTGTCTGATTACTTTAGGTATGCTTTTGTTTGCTTTGGTGTAGACTGTACTTCAGAAAGGTGGGATATACCCCTCCATTGGAAGACAAATGGGAGCCACTGAAGTTTAAAAAAAACTAACAAAAATAGAGGAAAAAACCCCAGCTCAGCAACCCCACAAAATAATAAAAAACCCACCCCATGCCCCCTATGCTACTTTATGCTGCAAATCTTTCACACGTTATGCCTATGTACTATGGTATCCTAAAATTGAGTGAATTCATGCCCTTTGTTACTTCACTGTGCTAATTTAGGCTTTTACTAGATAGTATTTAATTAAAAACTGTTTCACATCCCATCCCCACCTCGTTTGTTTTTTTTTAGCAGGGAAGGGTTTAGCATTTGGGGATTTTTGTGTCAGAGCCAGTTCAGCGTCATGGCAGTATTTTGGAAGCCAGGGCCCTCCCTCTAGTAATTGATAAAGAAAGAATCTCACTAGTTATTACTAACTCTGTCATCCCCTTTAAAACGTACAAAAGGCAGCATTAATCCTTAAAGAAGGGGTGTCACAGCCATTCTCAGGACCTTGGCCATCCCATGTGTGGTGTTAATGCACAGCTTGCCTCGCATTCGTTCTCGGTGTGACAGTGCTGGCCTGTCTCATGCTCCACTGGTCTCTTTAAAACTGAGGAAGTCCAGAAGATAGATTATTTTTTTTTTCCTTCCATCTGCTCTTGTCACCCAAACCCACAGCGCTGGTTGCTTGTCAGAGTGTGAGTGTCTTGACTGTCAGAGATCCTGGAAAACCATTAAATTAGTCAGTGATAGTGGAAATGAGTACTGAAATCCATTACAAAGAAGAGCACGAGAATGGTAGAGGGGGCATAATTACTACATGTACAAACTGCCCCCTCTTTCAGGAGCTTAGTCTTACCCACTCATTTTTAAAAGCTGAACAAACTTTACCATTTGCCTACTACAGGTATAGCATGTGATGAATCAAAAGCTGAGGAAACACTTCCTCCTCACCCCCCCTCAAAAAAACCAACCCCAAACCCCAGTGTGACAGCAGAGGAATAGATGTAGGGATTTGTGAAATACAGTTGAAACGCAGAGGGGCAGTGTTGCTGTGGAGGGTGGAGAGGTGGGAGCTGGACCATGGGTTTGTCAGTTGGAGGAGGCTGAGGAGCAGTTTGCTGTTCCGAAAGATCTCAACAACATTGTCTAGGAGACTGAAACCCCAATGTAAATGTCTCTGTAGGTCTTCTGCTGCCTCTCCTTGAAGTTTCATTTTTATCATGGTCTACCTGGGAAGAATCAAGAGTAGTCAAGGATGGAAAAATGGCATAATGACCAGGGATTGCTGAGAGAGGAAATAGCTGTCGCTGTTCCTGAAAGCCAGCATTTCTCCCTGCTCATCTGACTCCTGCCTCTGTCTTCCAGTCACCCACAAATTTAAATACATGGGCCCAGTACCTCATGAGTCTCTGCACGCATTTTTCCTTCCTACAGTAATTCTTAAGGCAATTTTGCCTTAGTATCCATAAGAGACTCCCCAAAGGGAGCCTCGAGTCATCCAGAGGAGGGCCACAAAGATGATCGGGGGGTTGGAGCACCTCTGCTGTGAGGACAGGCTGAGGCAGCTGGGGTTGTTCAGCCTGGAGAAGAGGAGGCACTGGGAAGACCTTATAGTGGCCTTCCAGTACCTGAGGGGGGCTACAGAAAGGCTGGGGAGAGCCTGTTTACAAAGGCTGTCAATGACAGAACAAGGGGTAATGGCTTTAAACTGGAGAAAAGCAGATTTAGATTAGATATTAGGAATAAGTTATTTCCTACGAGGGTTGTGGAGCACTGGAACAGGTTGCCCAGGGAGGTGGTTGAGGCCCCATCCCTGGAGATACACAAGGTGAGGCCTAACAAGGCCCTGGGCAACCTGGTCTAGTTGGGGGTGTCCCTGCTGACCGTGGGGGGGGTCAGACTAGATGACCTCAAAGGTCCCTTCCGACCTGGATGATTCTATGAAAGAAGTGGTCACTGCACCAAGCCTGTTGGGAGTTCAAGGAGCATCTGGATGATGCTCTTAGTCATACGGTTTAGTTTTAGGCAGTCCTGTGAGGGGCAGAGGCTAGGACTCGATGATCCTCAGTAATCCCTTCCACCTTAAGAGATTCTATAAGAATCATAGATTAGTGTTGTGCTTTTTGGGAACGTGGTAGAGGCTGACTGCCTTGGATGCAGCTTCCTCTTCCTTTTGGGTAGCATTATAGGTGATGTGGTGCAGAACTGAGGTCCTGGGCTGTGCCAGAGGAAGCAGAGACCAGTAACCCCCATCCTACTGTCAAATGGGACTGATGGGAAAGGATCAGCAGCCAGAAACAAAAAGGATTTTTCTGCCAGGTTTTTCCCCTTGTGAGGCTGCCATGGAACCCTTTTACCAGAAAAGCAGAACCTTTGACTGGTAAGGAAGGATGTCTGAGGGTGGACACGGCTACTGTGAGCACCACAAGCCTGCTTCACAGATCGAGTGGGAGAGGCAGCGCAGACATGCTTTTAAACACTGAACAGCCCAGGGCTAACCTCTAGATGATCCATTTCTTCAGCCGATTTCATCTTTTGAGACCTGCTTAGAATTGCCTCTGAATCCCACGCTGAGAGGATTACCCTGCCTTTCATCCGGCGTCACCTCCCGCGACTTCCAAATGAAAACTCCACGCTGCTCCCACCCAGGTGGGACTTAAACACTGAACAACTCCAGGAGGTTGCAGAGGAGTCAGCTTCACGCCAGCACAGAAAGCCAGAGGTGAAACCATTTTTTTTAAAAAAATGATCAAGAAACTAAAGATAGCAACCACTTTAGTTAAAACTTTCTCTGCTCCGCAAAGATCAGCAGTGCAAAGGGCGAGTCGTGCATTCAGGCTTTATTCCTCTTTTCCGAAGTCCAAGTGTTAACTCCTGTGAGAAACGTTATTTTTAAAATCACGTTATTTTTAAGATCACATTATTTTTAGACATCCACGGTAAACAACTCTACTTGAGCGTTAATCATAAAAAACATATCGTCTGACGGGAAGATGATTTTTAAAATGTATTTTGTTAAATAAATTCATGTGAACAAAGCTGACATGAGGAATGTCTGTTTCTTTACGAAAGAAGTACCCTGATTATCGCGGCTAGAAGGGAAGGTAAATAAGAGAAGAGTTCATTATCACAATTTTTCCTTCCAGTGCAGAGAATTCAAGATTATTACAGTTCATTGATACAAAGTAATAGCTGTAATTTGTCTTGTTGGAAAGAGCTCTGCTATGCCTGAGCAGCCTTTAATCCTTCTTGCTTAACATTTTTGGTCTGTGCCAACAATTAGCGCTGTATTAATTTGTTGCATTGGATTTCAATCAATGACCCAAACCAAACCCCAGAGTTGTAGTCTGCTACACAAAAGTTGTCTTAATGTGACAGTGAAATGTGCTTCTAGTTCTTTGAAGGCCAAAATACTTTCCTCAGCCTTTCTGTTCCATAAGGAGGGAAGGAATGTAAAGAGGTAAGCATGCAAAAGAAATTAACCTCTGTTGTGGAACGTGCCCTGCAGCCTGGTCCATAGTACGCCGGGCAAGTTCCATGTCAGGAACTAGTTGTGTATCACAAAATGACCAAGATAAAAGAGTTTGCCATTAACTTCAATACACCAAGGAATTGAATTGGAATTTTCTCCGTCATCAAAATTGAAATGATTTTCTGTTCAAATTAACTAGGACAACTAGGGCCTAACCCAGTATTTTTTTCTTTTTTATTTTATTTTTTTTTACAGAAGTAGATAGTTTGCTTGTCTGAAAAATGAGCCTATTAGCAGTTAAATATTCCTACAACAGCTTTTTTTCTGCAGTCGTGTACAGTGTGTGTGCTGGACTTCTGGAAGAAATTGCTTACTTTATTTCAGCAATCCTGAAGCTCTCAATATTTCGTGGGGATGAGTTTGGCATCTCTTAGTAGGAATGAGACAGAAAGTCTCAAGCAGAAGGAGCCTGAAGCATGTAACTTCACCACAGACACCACTGGCCCATCTGCATTTTTCCTAGCAGAGGTGCTGGGGCACCCATCACCATCTCTGTCCTGGCACCTTCTTAGAGCTGATCTTCAGCCTTCTCCATGGACATGGAGTAGGTGTTGGTCTTTCACTACAGAGCCTGCCTTAGGAACATGATGCTATGAGATGTCATCTAGCTGGGCAACAGCTACAGTTCCTGTCCTCGTGTTCCCTGCAGTAACAGAGTGCTGGGAGCACCCTCACTGCCAGGCCAGAGCGCTCCATCAAAATCACTAGTGGTCCAGTATCAATGCGTGTGGGTGGCTCAGCAAGACAGGAACACCTCCAGCTTGGAGGAATGTCTGTTCTGCTGTGTCAAGGGAAACCTTTGCCTTCGATACAATGAGGTACTTTATCAGGAATGTGTCCCTGATAGCCCTTTAAGTGACTTTCAGCTCTTAATCAAAATTACAACTTCTTAGTCCCATGGAAGTCCTGCAGTTACTTTGAACTCTTTTCTCAGGGACCATCTCCCAGAAGTCAGTCAATTAATATTATTTTTCTACACGGACTTCTCAGTGTTATTCCCAAAGTAACTTCATGCCACGGTAACTGCTAGAGTGCAGGTTCCTAGCTCCACTTTGTTCACGCCACCTTCTGCCCAGGGTCCCTTTGAACCATGTCTGTGATGCCCTGGAGATTTCTCCTCCTCTTCAGGTCCCCTTCTCACCTGGTTTTCAAAGGAAGCTCAAGTACCTGAAACTGATTTCCAAGAAAGGTGGGTGGAAACAGCAGGAGCTGGTTTGAGAGTGGCTGGGGAGAGGTGGAGGAGGTCAGCTACCAGATAGCACAAGAACAAGGCAGGGGGAGCTTTAGACACTCGACAGACAGCTGTGAGGGAGATGTCTCTCTGCTTGGGAACCAGCTCCCTGGGCAGGGATCTACAGATAGTCCTTGTAGGAGGAGACCAAGGCTCATGCT